CAGGGGTGGGCACGGCCGTGGGGGCGGCAGCCAGAGCAGGCAGGGTCCCTGCTCGCCACAGGGACAGGGCAAGGGCAGGGGGGGCCCCGCGTGCCCCGCGGAAGGAGGAGGTGCCGCGGTTGGGCTGTCGTGCCCACGCGTACAGAGCAGGGTCTGGCACCATCTCGGCCACACGTCCCCCGTGTGGTGCCGCCCGCCCCCTCACCTGCCTGACGTGTCTCTGGTGCCACCAGAGGTACCACCCATGGCATCGCTGGGGTCACCTCAAGCAGTGAGCGCAGCCCCTTCACACTCCTGGGCTTTGCCATGCATGTCTGGTGGAGCTGTGCTTGTTCCATGGAGCTGTGAGCATCCTTGGAGCTGCACACGTCCCCTGGAACCTGGCGTGTGTCATGGAGACATGTGTCGCATGGAGCTGTGCATGTCCCATGGAGCCGTGTCTGTCCCATGGAACCGTGTGTGTCCCGTGGAACTGTGTGTGTCCCATGGAGCCATGTGTGTCCAACAGAGCCATGCATGTCCCATGGAGCTATGTGTATCCTATGAACACACTCCAAGGATGGAGCCATGGATATCCCTTGGTGCCGTGCACGTCCCATGGAGCCATATGGGCCCTGTGGAGAGAATCGCAGAATAGTTGAGGTTGGAAGGCACCTCTGGAGATCAAGTCCAGGTTCCCTTCTCAGGCAAGGTCACCTCGAGCATGTCACATAGGATGACGTCCAGGCAGGTTTTGAGTATCTCCAGAGAAAGAGACTCCACAACCTCTCCAAGCAACTTGTCCCAGTGCTTTGTTACCCTCACAGAAAAAAAAAAAAAAAAAATGGAAAAGAAAAGAAAAGAAAAGAAAAGGAATTCAAATTCATGTGGCACTCCCAGTGCTTCAGTTTGTGATCATGGCCTCTTGTCCTGTCGCTGGACACCACTGAAAATAGCCTCCTCCATGCTGAACAGGCCCAGCTCCCTCAGCCTCTCCTCACAGGAGAGATGCTCCAGTCTCCTCGTCATCTTTGTAGCCCTTTGCTGGACTCTCTCCAGCAGCTCCATGTCTCTCTCGTCCTGGGGAGCCCAAAGGGAGAGTCACCTCCCTCAGCTGCTGGCAATGCTCTTCCAAATGCACCCCAGGACACCACTGGTCTTTTTGGCCACAAGGACACATTGCTGGATCATGGTCAACTACTTGTCCACCAGGACCCCCAGGTCCTTCTCTGTAGAGCTGCTTTCCAGCAGTCAGCCCCCACTCTGTACTGGTGCCTGGGGTTATTCTTCTCCAGGGGCATCTCTCGATCTCTACCCATCTCTGCAGCCTGTCTGGGTCCCTGTGAATGTCAGCGCAGCCCTCTGGGGTGTCAGCCACACCTCCCAGTGTGGCATCCTCAGCAAACCTGCTGAGGGAACAGCCTGTCCTTTCAGCCAGGTCACTAATGAATCAGTTGAACAATCCCACACCCAGTATTGACCCAGCATATGGGGGACAACACCAACTACAGGCCTCCAAGTAGGCCCTGCACCTCTGATCACACCCCTCTGGGCTCTGCTGTTCAGCTGGTTCTCATGCCACTCATCTAGGGCACACTTCTGAGCTTGCCTTGGAGGATGTTATAGGAGACAGTGTTGAAAATCTTGCTGAAGTCAAGGACAGCACCCGCTGCTCTCCCCTCGTGTCCCCAGCCAGTCATTCAGCCGTAGAAGGCTACCACTTTGGTTAAACATGATTTCCCCTTGGTGAATCCATACTGACCTGATCACTTTGTCCTCCGCATGCTTAGGGACAACATCCAGGAGGAGCTGCTCCACCACCTTTCCGGGAATGGAGGGGAGACTGCCTGGCCTGTGATTCACCGGACCCTCCTGCTTGCCCTTTTTGGGGACTGGCATGACATTGGCTTTCTTGCAGGCTCAGGCACCTCTCCTGTTCTCCATGACCCTTCAAGGGTGATGGACAGTGGCCTAGCAATGAGATCTGCCAGCTGCTGCAGTGCTCATGAGTGCATCCCATCGGGACCCATGGATCTGTGGGTATCAGCTTTGCCTAAGAGATCTCTAGCCTGATCCTCTCAATCAAGGGAAAGTCCTCCTTTCTCCAGACTTCCTCCCTGGTGTCCAGGGTCTGGGCTTCCTGAAGGATGTCCTTAGCTGTGAATATTGAAGCAGAGAAACCCTTCAGAAGCCCTGCCTTCTCTATGTACTTCATCAGCTGGGCACCCAGCTCACTCAGCAGCAGGCCCGCCTTCTCCCCAGTCTTCCTTTCACCTCTGATATACTTTTATAGGTGTCCCGTGGAGCCCTGTGTGTTGGGTGAAGCCCTGCACGTCCCATGAAGCTGGGTGCGTCCCGGAGAGCCGTGTGTATCCTCACAGCTCCCACGCTGCGGACGGGCGTTGCTGCAATCGGAGCCGCGCTTACGCACACGGGGCCTGCACCTGCAGCGGCGCCTTCCAGAGCCCCTGCCCACGGCGCGGGGCAGAGCTCGAGGCAACGGCCACGCTGCTCCCGTGTGGGGTTATTCCACCAAACGCAAAAATAAGAACACGTTTTTGGCTACCCTAATGAAAATACCTATTTTCCATGTGTTTCAGACAGCTTCTGAACCAGAACGTCCCCGTTTTTTGATATCCGTGTTCAAAATACTCCAGGCAACAAGGAGTACATCAGGATCGGCTTGTCAGCTCTGCTGCAAGAGCTGTGTTTTCACTGCAGTTCATGTCCTGGTGGAGGATGCGGTGCTTGGGACAGAGCTGGATGGGTTTTACTATGTATTTGTATCTGGAGAGCAGCTCCCAGCTGAGATGTACCATGGGTTCTGCTCCCACCGTGGATCCTGTCTCATTCCTATGGCCTGACTTGAAGTGAAATGGCGGCTGCTAATGGGTCTTACATCCAGTTTTGCCCCAAACTGAAGCCATCTCCTCTGGATGGATTCTGGCGGCGGGACAAGCTTGTCCCATGGCAGCCACAAAGGGAAAAGGCTGGAAAGAGCAGCTGCAATCGCATCCTCTGAAAGCCTCTGCACAGGGAAGGGGGGCACCTGAGGGTGCCAGCCCGGAGATATCTGTCAGCTTTGGCCATGGTGGGGATTTTCCATGCCGCTTTCCTGTGCCCAGCATGCGGAGATGACAGTGGAGGTCCCTGGCACATGTTGTCCCCACAGCACAGCCCTGGTGGCTTCCAGGGCCCAGCCAAAATAAATAGTCCTGAAGTACCAGCAGTGCCTCCGCGTCTCTGCTAAGGGAAAGCAAATACAGGCAGGATGCTTGGGATACCAAAAATATCCGGCATCCAGAGTCTGGAAACACCATCAGCAGCACGTTTAACCCCCTCCCCGCTTCCTTTCGTCAAAAAGCCACCACCGG